TAATCTGATGGATTATGGATTGGTGGGAAGAGACTTCCTCCTTCTTTTCACCCAATAGTCAAGTTAAGTCAACTAACCTAACAGGTAAATTAGGGTGAGTTCTTGACTTTCATAGTCAACAATGTAAAATTTTACAGATATACAGATGCCACTTTGTGGAATATATATTGATCAGGTAACCAGAGTCATAAAATCTCTGTGTTACCTCAAGGGTGGCCAGAACCTCCAATGGGGAGAAGTCCAGGTCCTGCTGAAACACATGCTATTTATGTCCGAATCTTAAAGGAGCAGTGTACACCAGTTACAGAAAATCTTGCGCTTCTGAATACAACCTTTGCCATCCCCTGACCTAAATGTGGTAACATTGCTAAGGTTCTTACCTCCCTGAGATTCACAGGATCTTCTGCATGATCTGGTGATACAGGATCCCCACAAAGTCCATATCCCTGTGTCGTGACAGTGGAAAGCCACCTCTTTATACAAACAGTTTCCACGTGCTAAAAGAGCCTCTGCGAATGTTTCCATCAGTGTGATAGAGTCGTGTAAAGAGAAGCATTTCACTGCAATGTAATGGATGAAGGATCAAGGGAACCTTGTATATTTTCAAAGTAGTTTTAATGAAAGTGAAAGTCATATGAGATATTAAGTGGAGACAAATCCATTTTTATGTACATTCTAATCTCTTATTTTTGTGTAAGGCTAATCTTCATATTAACATACACACAATCAGAAATCACAAATCATCCTGTTAATCATCGATTGCCTCGAGCAGGCCCCAGTAACATCTCCTTCATCCTAGCCCTGAGATTATATTCAAGGCTCTTTAGGAGAATGAGACCCATCATTGTTACTGGTATTTGGCATATTGGGTACGCCACAGGGAGTTTGCCAGACTCTGCCATGTGGGCAGGCTACATTCGGTAGCCTGCCAGTTTGTCCAAAGTAGGAATGAGATAATAAGATGTCACAATAAAATGTCGCGGCCGCGCAGTTCCGGGAGCTGGTTTTTATAGTCTCTGGGTCTTGGCCGCTGATGGGATTACACGGCACCAGGGGGCCAGTTGGTGGGTGTGACCCCCGCCTACTGGAATTTGGAGGATCTGGGTGGAGGATGCTCGGCCCAAATCCGAGTAGGCTTGGAGATCTCGGCCCCAGAACCCGCATGACTTTGTCACTCTGCCAGTACCTTCATGTGTGCGGAGAGTGGTCTCAGCATGGTGGTGGCTGGTCCTGGAGGTCTTTGGCTGCCGAGCCCTGGTCGGGGCGGGGAGGAAAGCTCAACCCGCTCCCCTCCAAGGGGCCCCAGCGGCGAGGAGGACAGTCAGGCGCGGAGGAAGGAGACTCCACTGTTCTTCTTCCGGGAGCTGGTTTTTATAGTCTCTGAGTCTTGGCCGAAATACTCAAAGTTTAAGAAATACTCAAAGTTATTTCTTTTAAATTACAAAAAAATATTAAAAAATATAACTTACAAAGTTATTGATAGTTAAGTTTTAAACATATAATATTCTCGTTCTAGCACCAATCCCACCACCGGTGTCAACTTCCCTCCACTTGTGTTCCCAAGTTCTCTTCTCTCACCCGCTTTACAGCCTGCCATCTTGACAGGCACATTTTTAAAAAAAATTTTATTAGTGAAACACCAGGAGGTACAGATGTAGACTTACAAATTTCTGTGCTTGGGTTTCAGTTATACAATGATCAAGTACCCTCCCTCCACCAGTGCCCATTCTCCACCACCACAGATCCTAGTATCCCTCCCACTTGCCATCCCCCCCATCCCACCCTGCCTCTGTGGCAGGGCATTCCCTTTTGTTCTCTCTCGACTTTTGGGTGCTGTAGTTTGCAAAAGAGACATTGAGTGGCAATCAAGTTTGGTCTATAGTCTACTTTCAGCAAGCTTCTGCCTTCCTGGGAGGATCCTCCCAACACCCTTTATTTAGTGCTCTCTTCTCTATCTGATCTGGACAGGCATGTTTTAACGTTTGGTTGTTCTGGGTTGTATTATTTCTTGATGGCAAGTCATGAATAGTGGGGTTTTTTTCCCTCTTCCTTGTGCTTTTCTCTTCTTACTTTGCTGGGCTTAAGGGAGGAAGAGAGAATCTCCTCAAATTCTCTTATTTTTTTAATTTACAATATAAAATTGTTTAATTTTCCTTAGTTACCTTTGACAGATCTTTGAAAATAGTCGTTGCTCTCAGAGAAGGGAATTTTCTTAAAATAAATACGCCATAGCAGAAATCAATGCACCTGAAAAGGTGAAAAGGAAAGTAGCGGAAATTGGGTTTTGGAAGGAACCTAATTCACTCAGTTATCATAACAATCTTGTTAAAGCGTAAAACATCAAGGAGTATGTTTGAATACAGTGTTTTTCATATTTTAAACAAATATTATTTTTCAAACACACAAGAGAACTATTGTAAATAATGAAATGTACACAATAATGTACATACACACAAACAAGAAAGAGAGAAATAAACATTATACATAATTCCATTACCTCAGAGAGAAATGAAACAATCCCAGGAGTTGGATTTTTAGCTTTCTCATCTCCCTTCACTCCCCCATGCATTGTATACATACTCTGAAAACAAATTCAATGAAAATGACATCTGGCAAATTGGCCAAAGAGTTATGAAAAAATGTTTCACCAAAGATACATTAGCATTTTCCCCGATTTTTGGGTTTACAACACAGTCAGGCAAGATAAGGTACAGACCGGTCTATTTCTGTAGCTCTAACTCTTAGCGTTCCAGAAGTGTGGCTGGACATCTGGACCTCTTGGATCCAGGCAGCATGTTTCACCAGGTCTGGGGAAGAAACTTTTATGAGGATACAATGTTCCATTTTTGTCCCCCAAGTGTTTCTTTAGTCATTTTCTTGTTCAGCTAGGCAGGGTTTTCTAACCCAAGTTTCTCCCTTTAGACACTCTCTCATGCACATGCTCACAGCTCCTGCAGTTCTGGCACCAGGACCTCGAGGTGCCAGGGAAAACGGCCAAGGTCTCAAGATTGTTTTAGCTCAGGATACAAATGTCCCCAAAAGCAACCCATAATTCTCAGGCATTTTCCTAGTCATGAAAGTTTGTTGGCCTCTTTCTTATTGCTGTTACACAGAAAAATCATCTTGATCTCCACAATCCTTCTCGTCCACAAATTAGGGCCTCTTGAAAAATATTTTTCCTGACAGCCCTGTTCACACATCATTTCCCTTGCCCAGTCTCTCTGGATGTCCCTCATCGCTTGCAGCCCAGCTATGAGTAAGCTCTAGCTTCCCCAGGGCCAAGCTAGGCAGCAGGATTTTTTTGTTGCTGCTTTGTGGATTTGCTTTGTCACATAATTGGCCTTATCTACAAGTACCCACATTTTGACACTGAAAAGCAAAACATAACAGAGACAGGAAAAAAAAAGGAAAGAGAGAGAATCACTCATGCTTCTGCCCCAAGAAATAAGCACAATTTAAAAGTTTAGTGTATGTGTTTGTACTTTTACTTTTGACACAGTAAAGTTTACTCTCTAGATAGAGTTTGCTTCTTTATGACACTTAACATGTAGTAAGCATTTTCTCAATCACTAGAATTATTAACAGACTTTCATTAAGATATTAATGGCTTTTTAATAAGCAGATAGTATTTAATTAATTTATCTGTTTGTTTGGTCATGCTCAGCAGTGCTTAGGGAGTAATTCTTGGCTCAAAACTCAGGCACCATGTGGTGCCAGGGATTGAATTCTGGTCTTGCACATGAGCTCAATTGAGCATGAGCTCAATTCTCTGAGCTTTCTGGCCCAGATAAAGTTTATTTTATGGATTCACTACTAAATGCTTAGCTATTTGCTTAATATTAGAGACAGTATAAATACCCATTTTCTCTCGATGTAGCCTTGATCAGTACACAGGCAGAGCATTGCTTACTTATGTGTGGTCGTGTGGAGCTGTCCCTGTGAAGGTTAACTGTGACTGATTTTGCTCATGATCATTGAATGCTGTTGTCAGAACATAAGAAGAAGCCTTGACTTGTGTGTGTGAGAGAGAGAGAGATGGAGGTAGGTAGGTAGAGAGAGAGAGACAAAGACAGAGAGAGAGAGAGGGAGAAGAAAAGTGCCTGCCATAGAGGCAGGGATGGGGTGGGGAGTGATGGGAGGGAACCTGGGGACATTGGTGCTGGGAAATGTACATTGGTGAAGGGGTGGGTGTTGGAATACTGCATGACTGAAATACAATGTAAACAGCTTTGTAATGGTCTGTCTCACAGTGATTCCGTAAAAAAAAGTTTTTAAGAAGAAGAATCTTTGAGATGCCCCAAAGTGTATAACAGGGTTTCATAAGTTTCCAGATGAATAGTATTTTAAAATAATAAATTCACAAGAATTTCTTAAATCTTTCAAGTGATAAGACTGTTCAATTTTTAATCACTTCTATCTTACCTAGAAACTATTAATGTTACCCGGACTTTTGTTCTAACTGTATCTTTTTGGCAATTCCATTTATTTTTCTCAGTAAACACATGAATGTAGCATTTAATGTTTTACTTTTAGACCTTGGATGATATTGAAAATACAATGTTTCTAAAATTTTTGTTATCATAAAAAAAGGCATAATATCCATGTGGTACATGTTGACATGTGTGTGATTTCCCTTCTATTTAGTTTTTTCCATATCTACATACATTATGAAATTAGGTCAGTTCCACTGGCAAAATGATCTTAAATTTCCCCATTCCCTGCATGTCCTGGTGGCCTGAAAAGCAAGAATTCAGAAACACTGCCAGTGGTTTGGAAGGGTCAAGCCACCACCAGCATTATCTGGCCTTTGATGTCTGGCCCAAACCTTTGCAACAGTGCAGCCTTTACTTTTTCCTCACTAACACGTTACAGCTTCAAGTCTCCCTGCTGAGCACCCCTCCCCCCTTCATGGGCAGGTGCCCAGCAGGTGAATGTTTCCTGATGTCTTTTTTGCCTTTTCCCTCCCTGCCTGACCCTGTTTTGTCTCTCATCATCCACAGAGCCTGGCGTTTGCACAGTGTTTGGAGACCCTCACTACAACACTTTTGACGGCCGCACGTTTAACTTTCAGGGGACATGTCAGTACGTGTTGACGAAAGACTGCTCCTCCCCTGCCTCACCCTTCCAGGTTCTGGTGAAGAACGATGCACGCAGGACCCGCTCCTTCTCCTGGACCAAATCAGTGGAGCTGGTGCTGGGTGCCAGCACCCTCAGCCTCCAGCAGCACCTCACTGTGCGCTGGAATGGCTCCCGGGTGGCACTGCCCTGCCGGGCTCCGCATTTCCACGTGGATCTGGATGGCTACCTCTTGAAAGTGACCACCAAAGCAGGTAGGCAGCAGCTAGAAATGGGGCTCCCCAATCATGAAAGGAGGTGTCAGACTGCCCCAGATAACTGGAGACATTTGCACTCCCAACGCCAGTCAGTCACACCCGTCCCTCCCCCCCCCCCCCCCACACACACATGGGATCCGCTCACAGCCAATGTCTCTCCAGTATGCTGCCAAGAACGAGCAGTTATGGGCTCCAAATAACCCCTTTCTCAAGTTTTGCTGCTATTTTGGTCCATTGAGGTCCATTTTGGAGTTACCAACATCTCTCCAAGTTCAGCCAATAGAGTGCTGTCTGTTTTACATCTGGGACAGAGTTTCTCCTTGCTAGCATCTGTTGAAGAAAGGGGGAATCCTTCCAAAGCAGCAGACTATGTATGGGGGTAAAAAAGCAGAGCATGTGACCAGCCATCCTGTCTGTTAATTGCCTGCCATCATTAGTGCTGAGATGGTGCTAGACTCAGTATGGGCGCTCTGAAGACACTTCGCCCATGTTACCCAGAGCCCTATGGACTCTCTGTTTCCACCAGAGGGGCAGATACTTCCCCACACACTCTGTGATTGCCAGCAGCTTACCCTAATAGATACAATGAGGCACAAATTCATGTCTGCGGTGTTTTGGAAGAGAGGAATTTGAAAAGCTGAATTCACTGTTATTAGCCTATTCACGGTCACGGTCATGGTCCTCCTGTTGTTCATCGATTTGCTTGAGCGGGCCCAGTAATGTCTCCATCATGAGACTTGTTGTTACGATGTTTTGGCATATCGAGTACGTCACGGGTAGCTTGCCAGGCTCTGCCGTGCGGGCGAGATACTCTCGGTAGCTTGCCGGGCTGTCCAAGAGGGGCAGAGGAATGGAACTCGGGTCGGCCATGTTGACCGCTTGTAAGGCAAACGCCTTACCGCTGTGCTATCGCTCCAGCCCATTAGCCTATTAGGCCCCCAGAGTGAATTATTTGTTTATGCATCTTATTTTATCATATCCAATTCCTCCCACACTGCCTTTGGCTCATACATCTTGTTTGTTGATTGGCTATAGATACATGATACTTGAAATCAGTGTATTCTGTTTGCTTTGATGAGAATTTAGTAATGTAATAGCTGCAAATGGGTCCAAGTTCTTTTCTTAGTACAAGTCTAAAAGAGAAGCTCTTGGTAGATAGGCACTTTTGAGGGACTATAGACATTCTTTCCTATTATACCTTCAGAAAGAGTCCTGTTAATCATTTCAATTCATAACAAACTCTATGTGATAAATTGATACGATTCTATAGAATACCAGTTTAGCTAAACAAGGCAGGAGGCCAAGGAGAAACCTGGGTGCTTTTACTTAGAGAATCACATGGCTTCAGTGAGGGAATATTAAATATTAATGGGTTGGAGCCTTCTGGCAAAGGGGGAGATTTTCATCTTCACAATGCAAGGAGCAGATGTTGAATCTGTTCAGAGACATTAGAAGACTATGTCCTGCTTAGAAAATGCAGTCACCTGTTGTTCTGTCCTTATGATATGTCACTCTCCAGATGGAGAGGTCTCAATGGGCTCCTTAAAAGGAGCAGTTGTTTGTACTTCCCCGTACAATGTATGCACGACGACCCATTATTGTACTGAACTAATTAGAAGCACCTTGTCTATCTGCTTGCAAGCCAGCAGAACACAATGGAGTCTACTGATATGGAAATTATTAGTCAACCACAGTCCAATTCCCAAAGATCTTGGATGCTCAAAGATGGCTAACAGTCTAGGAGGTTCTGTACTGTTCGACTCACAGCTGACAATACCTAATGGAATAAATGTACTCTTTGTACGGGTTCACATTGTAAAAATGAACAAAGCGATGAAGCTGCTAAGAAAATAATAATAGATCGTAAATATGATAATTAGTTTAGCAGAGTTAACTCTTATAGGCCTTGAACTCCACTTTACAATGTCTTTTATTTTTCCATCTCTCTTACCACAATGCAAGTAAATTATGTGGTGCACTTCATACCAGCTAAACAATTTCCTACGGCATGTGAAGTGAACAAGCCTTCTGCTTCCTAGGGAAGAACTGTATTCCTCTGGGCACTAAATTTGCTTTGAGATTATCCTTTGAATGGAACAATTCCATTTTCAGACAATAGTGTTTTCTACTCTACTCTATCTCAGTATGTAACAACCCTCAGGATATTTTCTTTTTATTGCCTATTGATTGTGATTACCAATTAAAATATCACAGTGTATCCTTTGAGTGCTCCTCCGAAGGGTTTTTTTTCTTCCTGTTTCATAAACCCATATGATCACAGAGTATTTCCTACCAATTAACAGCCTAACTCAAGCCTGCAGCTCACCTGGCCTCTGGGGTTCATGACAGCATCATTGGCAGAGAAGCGCAGATGGCCCCACATAGCTTGGGTGGATTTAGGTGGTAGTTACTTGCCTCATAACAACTGAGTAAAACAGAGACACCTAGCAAAGGTTGGGAACTTGAGGCAGTAGTGTCCACCCCCACCACATCCCAACACTTTGCACTTAGAAATAGTTTAAGAATATTCCTCACTTGTCTCAACCTGAAAGAAGTGAGTCAATTCCATTTGAAAGAATAAGCATGAAAGAATGGGAATTTTAATTTCTTTTTTGATAAAATTCTTCACCTAATATACATACACTCACATACTCATCTCTAACACTCACATACACATACTCTCACACATAATAACACACAAACTCACAAACTCACACAGCTAACACATACTTATTCACATGCACTCATGTATACATACACTCTCATATTTTTATACGTACTAATACACACATCATGCACATACTACACACATGCATATATATGCTCACACATATACACATACATACACACTCATGCACACACTCATACTAACACACAACATACATTCACATACTCTCACATACACAGGCTCACACACTCACACATTCACTCACCCACACATTCTTTTTCTGATCAGAAGAACTCAGCCTCAGTGAGGTGTCACTGTGTGTGATGTCAGATTTTGCACCTCCTTTCTCTTTCAAGTGGGCAGCAGCATAGGCAACAAGAATCACCAAAACCCAAACAAATCAATGCAAACAGAAACAACCACAACATTAAGAATCAACTTCCTCTTCCCCCAGCCCCAAACAAAAACAAAAACAAAGAAATGATCCAGAGCCAAGTCACACATTTGAAGGGCGAAGAACAAGTTGGTGAAATATTCACTGGCGAGAAGGGAAAATTGGAAGGCCCTTCACACAGTGGAAGGAATGCGGCTGCTGCTCATAGCCCCACACGGGACATGTGCTTTGGCTTTAGCCCCTGACTCTGCCAGTTCTTCCTACCCAATTTCTCATGCAGAGAATTGGGAAACTCATCCCAGCTGCAGAAAGGACAACCTCTCAAACACTTCCAGGATGTTTCTCTCATAAGAGACCTATTTAAAATATCTTTTGGAAGAGCAATTTCTTCAATTACAGCTTATTAGTTTTTTAGTCTGTCACTGCTATAATCTACTTTGTATGGACTCAACTCATGTGGAGGGTTAAAAAATAGGCAAACACATGTGTGTATGATATAGTAACAGACAAAGGCATCTTTCACTGAGTAAGTCACCTCTCCACAATATGAAACCAGCCCAGCATTGGTCCATGAAAATCCTCTTAATGCTGCAATAACATGAAAGAGGAAGAGAAGAGATTGAAGGACCAATTTTTCTCTTACTTTGGTGCCCATCTTTTATGAATGTGATGTCTGGAATTTTGAGAGAATTTTACCAAATGTGCAGGGAGTCTTCATCTTCAGAAGTATACATGAATTACCAGGCACTGCAGGATGGGGGGTAGAACAAAATGAAATGATTGGTTTGTTCACTGTGAGTTGAAGTCCTATGAACTTAGTTGCCCAAAGGCTCAAATTTATTATATCATTGTCAGTGATGCTTGTTGGAGCTCCTTTGGATGTAAATCTCGAACATTGTGGCATTTAGAAGAATAGTATTTTCCTGCTGTCTAGGAAAGAGATTTGTAGTTTGGAAAATTTTGCAACATGGAAAATCTTTGGAATTATGCTCTGAAACTTTGAGTTTTGTATGGAATTGATTTTCTCCCCTCATTTCTCTTGCTGGGCAGCTGCCTGGCTACAGTCTTGTAAGGTCAGGTTTCTCCTATACCTTAGAGAATGTATTACAAATCACATTACAGTTTGCTTGTCTTTCTTAAAGACTGTTGTTTCAGTGTCTTAACTAGCATGAAATTCACAATTATTTTGACTTCGTGGTTTCAATGTATCCATTTACAGGGTAGTTCATTCTTTTACTGAGAACACACTATATGCCAAAAGCCATGTTAGATAATGACATTAGAAAAAGTATCACTCATTTTATGTGATTATTGCATTTGTCAGAGTTGACACCATTGCCCAGAGACCCACATGAGGGGAGCCCAAAGTGGACCCTATGCAGAGGGCCCACTCCTCTCATTTCCTGCTCCTTTGCAGGGATGGTCTCTTCGTCAAATTATTTCCAAGAGTGGTGCTCTTAGGATCTTTCTCATTTCTTTTCCTAACTTAGTTATTTCTTTTCTCAACCCAGTTTCTCTTTCCAACCAACAATACTGTCATGTGTATCTTAAACTAAGAAAGATTCTAGTTCTTTCATCTAACCAACAGTGATTTTTCTATAGTTCTGTTTATTTCTTGAGACACCAAATTTTGCCACTGGTTTATTCTCCCATGAACCCCTTAGTGCAGATTTCAGCTCTTCTTGTCTTCTTGTGCCAGCTGTGTACTTGTGACAGGAATGCTGTTTGGCTGGGTCTCTCACCTTTTGGACCATGTCCAGACTTAAGGAATCCTGGCTTTAGAATCTTACCTCTGGGCATTTCTTATTGATCTTCTGTTACTCTGATGTTTCCTTGGGCCAATTTTAGATCCATTGCTTTCTACCCTTCCCCTCTCTTTTCTTTTTAACCTTTTTTCACTATCACCTATCTACCAGCTTCTGATCATCTCATGAACATTTGCTCATTGGATTAATCTTTATTCTAAGGGAACAAAGTTAAAGTAATTTCAAAGAAGAGACATGATATTCTTTCCAGGGGCCCAGGACAGGCTACATGAAAGACTAAGATATATATATATATATATATATATATATATATATATATCATATATAATACAAGTTAGTATGATTTAAAAACACACTTGGAGAGATGACTAGGATATATATATATATATATCTCATATATCATATATAACCCAAGTAGTATGATTTAAAAACACACTTGGAGAGACTTTGTGGGTTGTCATTCTTAGGAGACAGTGACAGCAAAAATGGAGAAAGCCCAGGGCAGAAATGTACATCTACTTGTGCTTGAGGTTTTCTCTGTGTTCCTGTCACAGCCATTGTAACTAGTTCACGGTTCCCTGGAGGCCGCCATGGACACCACTGAGGCAGCAGCATCTCTGGCCGGGCCCTAGCTCAGCACTACTTACTGTGGTTGACCAAGTGTTACCACAGTGCTTCCAGACCCACTTAGCAGCATGGAGGAAGTAAAAACAAAACAAAGCAGAAATAGCTCCATCCTCAACAGGTTTCAGCATGCGTAATTCCTGAAATCTATGGGCCGGCTTGTCTAGGCTGGACAAATGCTCTGAGATATTTGATGGTCAGTCCAGGAAAGCGAAGGGGTTCATGTTTTTCACCTTCTGGGGAGAAGATAGTTTTTTCCAATAGAGAAGACAGGCCTGGTAATTCTGTTAGCACAGGAGGAACTAAGACCTCTTCGAGTTCTGAAGCCCATAAGAGAGAGAAGCCCCAGCTGAGAAAGAGCTAAAAAGGTTAGAGGGTTTCACAACAAGCCAGTATTTGAGTCAACAGTTGCTTATTGTTGAGCTATTGGTCATACCTCAGGAATGATTATAAAATAATAAGGGAATAAACATTTTTATTTGTGTGAGTGTGGTCCTTGAAGAGGATGTTTTCAGTAGCTTAGTATTTATCACTATAATACTCTCACTGTTACAAATAATCTGATGATTTACATTCGACATTTGATATAAATATATGAGAATTTGGGTAATGAACAAAAAATAAAAATAAAAACTATCATCATTATTTTCTTTCCATTTCCACAGTATAGTGGAAAAGTATGATTTGGAATAAAACAATTACTATTGGAAAAAGAAAAAATAAAATTAGAGCAGCATGCTCAATGAGTAGCCATTTATCAAGGTATAAAGGATATCATCATAAACACAAGCTTTATATACATAAACCACTCTCAGCCCCTCTGTGCAAATGGTTCATATAATTGGGTGAGGAGGGTAGAGGCCATTCCTGATGATATTTGGCCAGTTGGGTCAATAATTAAGTGTTAGAGGAATATGGTACCTAGGAACATCAAAGCATCTCCCTAAATGTTTTTTGGGGGATAGATGACAGTACCCAGTGATGTTCAGGAGGCCATGTGATGTTCCTGTACACATGCTCCTGATGCTCCCTTGGTCATGATATGTGATTTTATGCAAAGTTTGGCAGACAACATCCAAGATACTAGAATCTTGCCAAATTCAATAACAATATCAGTATATTATTGTATAGTTACATATTCTAGTGTATACTGTGTATAGTAGTGTGTATACACATGGGGATTATTTGTGTATTTAGAGTATTTGTTCCCCTTTTCCTCTAGGTTTGGAAATATCTTGGGATGGAGACAGTTTTGTAGAAGTCATGGCTGCCCCCCATCTCAAGGGCAAACTCTGTGGTCTTTGTGGCAACTACAATGGACATAAGCGTGATGACTTAATTGGTGGAGATGGAAACTTCAAATTTGATGTGGATGACTTTGCAGAGTCCTGGAGGGTAGAGTCAAATGAGTTCTGCAATAGACCCCAGAGGAAGCCAGTGCCTGAATTGTGTCAGGGAACAGTGAAGGTAAAGCTCCGCGCCCATCGAGAATGTCAGAAACTCAAATCCTGGGAATTTCAGACATGCCATTCAACGGTGGACTATGCAACATTCTACCGGTAAGTTTGGTGTTATCAAATATGGGTTTGGGTTATTGACAGATGGACTTGACCTTGGAACAGAATATATTAGATACCATGGTATTTGAAAAAAGGTCCTTCAGTGACTGATCACATCTTGAGTCAGTTCTTTGCTATGTTCCAAAAATGAGGAAAGTTCAAGTAATATGTCAGAGTGATTTTCTATAAGGAATTCTGATAAATTTTTGTGCCTGTAGGCTTATGAGAAAGTTGGAGAACCCCTTTGATACTTAGGCATAATCTTGACTCTAAGATTGAGAAGTGCTTCCCAAATTTTGTTCTCAACAGAGTGGTATTGGGCCGAGGTGGAAACCCCACACCAGTTTGACTGTCTGGGTGTCTGCGTGAGTTCAGTAGTTCTAGATTTGAGGATGAGTTCAGTCAGTCTCATCTTATTCCTAACATATCAGTACATGAAAGAGTGATTGGAATTCCTTGAATCTTGAGCAACTTTGAATCCAGAGATATAGAGAATAGAAAAAGAGCTTGAGGATGGAGGAAAGACAGTCTCTCATTAAGGATATGGGTAACATAATGTTTTCTAGCTTTGCTAAACCCGTTCCATACAAACCACTATGCTAAAAAGAGACCTGGGCTTGACTTCCATGCTACAAGCTTGGATTTGTGAGTTCATGCGTTTGGCCTGGTTCTACTTGTATTTACTACACATTTCCATAGGTCCAAGAGCTCTGACTTTCTAAACTTTAACCACCGTGAGTGTGGGAGGGAACATGAGATGAACACAGTCCCAAAAGCCTTGTTTAAGTGATTTGCCCATGCCTCTTAAAATGAGCAGTCTCCTGTGGTCTGAAGCCACAGAGAAGTTATTTTTACTCTTTAATTGCCACCAGTTTATTTTCCCTAGTTCTCATTAAATGTGATCTTTTTTTTATTTGATCTTTGGACATAAAAGATAAAGTTCTATAAAGACAGCTCAAAGTGGGATGGAAAAAGGATGGTCTCTGTCATCACAAATCCCTGAATATGGCTGCATCTGCCAAGCCATTTGGCTCCAAGTCATACATTTAACCCTTTTAAGCCATTTTCTTTTGGTTACTATTTGAATTCTCTGGGTTCTGTTCCTCACTTCCCTATGCCCCCTGACCCAGCCACATTGATCCAACCCCTTGTCTATTGATATTTAAGCATCTTAATGTAAGACTTTAGACTGAGCTAAGTAGTTGGACAAACCAGCTTTTCTTTGTAATCTAAGTGCCCATCACTTCAAGGTCTGATGGGAAGCATGAGAACATAACAATCAAGAGCTTTATGGTCTTTCGGGGTTAAAATATAGCTCTGGCATACACTCTTGAATAATCATCAGAGTTCTTTATATACAACTTGTTTATCTGTGAAGGGGGGATGAAAAAAGAACACATCTTTGAAAGTTGTCCTTCCAATGCAGTGAGATTGTGAACATATGCACGGGCTCAACCTAGTGCCTACAGCAAGTGCTCTAGAACTGTGGATACTGTCATTTCTTCTTTTAATCAAATCATGAACAAGCATAAGACCTCTTTTGGAAGAACTCCTAACACAATTACACATCAGTGTTGGGTTCTTTGCCTAAAATAGAGTGGAAAGATGGTACTTCTCCTAGAGACACAACAGCCTACACCTCTGGTTTTCATCCCATCTCAGAGAAATGTGTTGAAAACAAAGATTGGCAAGCAGACCTGCAAAAATTTGTCCCAATTTGCAAATTTCTTCTATTCCTTTTCCTTTTGGTGATTTATTTTGTATTATGATCCCTGGACCACAAACAAGAGTATGAGTGCCTTGGCAGAAGCCACAAGAAATGATTGACATGAACAGGGTTTCTAAATTGTTAGGTGGCCAGGCAGACGTTCATCTTATGCTCTTTAAGGTTGTCACAGCACAATGGAGGGATTGGTCCCCAATTGTTTGTTTATGGGGTTTGATGCACAATTTGGGGATTTTTTAATTGAATCACCACGAGATAAAAGTTTTCATTGAGTTTTGATCATACAATGATTGAATATCCATCCCTTCACCAATGCACATTTTCCACCACCAATGTCCCCAGTATCCACTCCTCCCCCCATTCCAATCCTCCCCCCTGCCTCTATTTCAGACAATTTACCCCATACTTTCTCTCTACTTTTTGGCATTATGGTTTACTTGAATTTTTCCACCACCATTCAAGCCTGCCAGGGACAGATGCTTAGATAATTTGTTTTCTGTTGCTTATTATGAATATCATGAGAGGTCACACGGCTGTGAATATGGCCGCATATTTCTGGAATTCTAAAATTGTAAATGATTGGGGTCCAGAAAGATCTCTATAGGAGCTAATCCATTTGAGATTTATTTGGGAGTCTCTGGATCAAGGCTGTTGATGTGCTGAGATGGCATCCGAAAGCTGATTGTAGGTGTGACAGCCAGGACCCCAAGTGGGCAGGAGACAGGGAGGGATGGACAGCTCATTTTCCCTGCTGCTGTGTGGCCTGCAGTCTGAATCCTGGAAACTGCATACCTGGGTTTTTCTCCTGGAAGCTCATGGTCACCAGGGTTCCATCTGGAGTGGGCAGAGAGAGCTCACCTTCTCCATCTGAGGTGCCCTGGTGGAATTGGCTCTATATGGGGTCCAGAGAGATCTCTGGCAAGCTGCTGTCTTCCGGGATTCACTGCTGTCCAATTTGGGGATTTTAGAATGCTCTTAGGATCTTTGTGCATTGAGGTTTGGAGGACAGGATGTGGAGGAAGTATGCCTGTCTCTACATGGTGGAGGGAAAAATGTCCTGGGAGGAGCAGATCTAAATTCTTCTCTGTCACACCCCCTGCCTCCCCCCCCCCCCCCCCACGATGATCTCACTCACCAGCTGTGTGCATTTTCATACACTTAAGTGGAAATGCCCAGTGTTGGATAGTTCCCAGGTTTACTCTTTCTTCTGAGCTTACGTGTGGAGAAAGAAAATACATTAAGTCAACACTTAAAAGGAAATCTACTTCTGGATATTTATGGAGAGGATCAAACCTCCAGATTCATAGAAAGGTAAGTGCCAGAGGATGTGTTGGATGATGCCAAGCTGATCTAACATCAACATGGTACTTTCTAGCTGAGTGACTCTCTTGGCAAGCTGTGCTTGCTTCTTTACCTACAGCATTGATAGGGCAGTCACACCCTGGTGGTAGTTTTCCCCCCGAGGTCAGTGGTGGATAAGTAATTCCCATTGATTGGCACATATGACATAGCACCTTTCTGCACGCCATTATCTTCTCCTGAATCTAAGTGATGAAAGTATGGAACCACTTAAGAACAAACTGTTTCTCTTTCCTGACACTAAGTGATATGCTATAACTGAAGGCTACATTGCTATTCTTGAGCATTTTGGTTCTACCTTATAGAAAATGATACTATGTCCATCGTGTGGCTTTCAAGAGTGAGTGAAATGAAGAATCGAGCGATTTACACAAGTCAAATTTTGCCTGTAAACTTTATAGCATTGGTGGAATTTCTAAAAATGAATCCCCAGACGCAGACAAGACTGTAGTGGTAATATTTTCCATGAGAAGTAAAGACCTTTCTTTGAAATAATTAAAGGTCACATAGAATTTGGCTCCTTTCATTTTCCTCCCATCCTTCAAATCAGTATCTGTATTTTCCTTTAAGGACTAAGAATAAAATATTTATACTGTACACATGCAGTTTCCCAAGGACTGCTATATTTGCAACATAGAGAAAGAAGGAAGAAAGAAGATATTTCTGTAGACATGTTTTCTCCTTTTGATCTTTGAATTACATGAAAAATTCCACAGTACAGATTTAATTATAAATATAAGATAGCTTTTCCTACACAAAGTTGAAACTACAATTCTAATTTCTCAGAATTACTTTTGAGCTCTCCAGGATTTGTATTTTTATTTTATTTTGGTTGCTTGCTGTGTTTAATTTTTTTTAAAGCAGTAAATGGTTCATTTTAAAAATACTAAAAAAATGTAAATGACATATTAGACAAGACTAATGATTTTTTTTTTACTCTTTGGTGAAATTTTTCAGCTTTGCTGGATTTTCCCTATAAATTAATTCCATTTATCGTGACCTCATTTGGCATAACATGTAGAAATACTTGATTTAATAATTGATAAAAGTCTTTTTGATCAACATAATTTGCTTTAATGAACTAATTGATTATATTTGGGAACAAAATAATTTAATAATGAAGCTAATGAACATTTTAATGGCTGTATTGATAAAATGTCTTAATCCCTAGAGCTGCTAATTGAATGGTCTTTAAATTAGATAATCCCTTTAAATAATGTTTGCATTTATCTTTTGTTGGCACTTTATAGGGAAATTCCCAGTAGTTCAGAGGTAGTATAATGTGAAAAAATTAATGTGAAATTATATGTATCATATTTTGGTTCAGACAGACCCGACTGAAGGGGAAAAGGAAGGGAAAGGGACTCAGTTATCTTTTTCCTTTCCTTATTGTCACTGCCCTCATCTCCATTTGTGTCTTGAATGCCAGTTCAGAAATAAAAGAACAGACAGCGCCCCCCATACCCCCTTTTCCCTGACCATTCTCCCCCACCCCTAGTCCCCCAATCCCAAAGGTGTCCTTAAGAACCTTAGTAGGCCAAATCCATCCTGTTCTCCATTTGTGACAGGTGGGGCAGAGGGGCCTGATCCAGGCAGTTAGGAGTCCTGGGGGAGGGATGTTCTCTTCGACCTGGGGCCTGCAAAGCTCTTTCCCTAACTCAGACATAATCTTGGATGAAACAGTTGCAAGTATACCTGCCAGCAAAGCAGGATTCTTAATTGGGGGCAGGCCCACGCTTCAGAGGAGGCAGAAAAATGAGTGTGGACTAGAGCAGAAGGCCAGGCATTTCGAGACCACCATCAGCTCAGCTCTTTTCCTCTCTGTTCCCTTTAATGGGGTATAATTCACTGAAGTGAAAACTGTTCACTTGTTCTCTTTGGGGTAGTGTCTGGGGATTTCCTGTCTAGGAAATGT